TCAAAACATGCTTTTATCCATCCACCAGTTCAAATCTCGTCCCACTGCCCGTCTGTAAATGTACCAAATCTCTTTATTTTTCATTACTGTTTAAGGCAGCTTTATAGCTTACTGCTGGATAAAGTGAAGAGTTTGGTTTGCCCAAACGTTTCTTAAATCACATGTCCATTAGGCCTGTGGAGGGGTGTGGTTATGTGTTGCCTATTTTTGACTCTCTCCCTCCATCCATCAGAGGGAGCAAATGGAGTGTAATCCATGATAACATGGATGCAGGGGCTTTTGGCCTGGATGAAAGCAATTCCACCCAGTCCAGAAATCAGCCCCTCTAAAACCTGATTTTACTGAGATGGTTTCCAAGTTTGACCAATTCTAAAAACCCAAGAGGTAGATAAACACGTATTTCCAGAAATTTTTAATAACATATCAATTTACATGGGATTTTGGGAGAGGATTTGCAGTAGTATATTTTGGTGGGTGGGTTATAAAATCCTTGCGAAAATGCATTCATGGAAAATCTTTGGCGGATCATTTTCCGTGCGTCAAAGTTTTATGCAAAGTTTAAGACTGCAAAAACGATCAGTCCAATGTTGATGCAGATTACTGTATAAGGGTATCACTTTCGTAAGACGCATGATCAAAGTTTAGATGTGAAACAGAGGGCATGCATTCTCTGTTGCCAGGTAACTCCCATATCTCTGTTGGAACAAGTTGGAATACCAGCTCTCTGGTAATACAGTACAGTAGTTAATTTCATTTCCAACCTTATGAAGAACTTCAATATTAGACATGCTTACTGAGAAGTGTCAAAGCACTTAGCTTGTTTGTGATCATGTTAGAGAACTAGAAAAGGTTTGTTTTTGGACTAGTTTCTGTAAGTGGATTAACAATTAGTGCACAACCCTGAAATAGTGTAAACAAACATCATCTATAAGTATGAGGCCATTTTTTTTTTTACTCTAGTGATGTTAGTGATCTGAACTTTGTGCGTTGGGTTAAAATGAATGTATTGTTCTTCCACTTAATTGCAGCTGGAGGTCCAGATGGCATCAACATATGTATTTTGTTCTGCCAGCATTCAGATTGCATATGGACCCAGCCACCCATCAACACTTATTTGTGCTGGATTTGACTCTGACTCCCTTAAACCGTTCTGCTAATGTTTACACAAACAGATCAGCCAGAGTCAGCATCATTTCTGTAAAGCTGCACTCTTTTGGCATGTTTGCTGCTATGGCGAGAACCTATAGTCATCATGGGAAGAGTGGTGCTGATCATCAACTATGAAGGATATCAGTACAAATAAGGCATAATTAGCCCAACTGGAGACACAGTGTAATGCTAATAGAGATTGTCATAGGGACCCATATATGTATTTATATGGAGTTCAGTGACTCTATCTGAAGGTTTTATAGTTACGGCAGTAGATGGCGACAAGTGTCTGTCATTGAGTGAATCATTTGAATAATTTACTCAACCAATTCATTAAACATCTCAGGGGGAAAAAAATTATTGATTCACTGATTTGTGTATATCTGTGTATATCTTCATCACCAAGCTATTGACAATGGATCTCAAAGTACGCCTTGCTTTCGATATTGTGACTGCATTATTGCTCAAACTTCTTGGAAATGTAGATATTTCTAATGTGATGTTTACAAATTGATAATGGGTTTGAACATCTTGAAAGTATGAAAAGTGCATAGCTAAAATCACTTTGGTCTCTGCCTGAACTCAAAAGAGAGGTAGATAGTTTATCTGTATGCAGAAACAGAAATAAAGTCATGTACATAAACCAAGGCTAAAGTGAGCTAGAAAAGGTAACCTCGTCTTGATATTCCCGGCAAATCATGGTCAAGCCAGGGAGAAACAAAATGGTGATTATCCAAAAGAGCAAACACAAATCATTGTCAGATCTGTGTTATGTTTCATAAGCAGTATGTTTGTTCTGTATAGCTGATGATAAGCCACCTTGTCTGCTTAAGCATTCAATTATTTTATTAGTCCCTGCAGAGAAATTTGTCTCGGCAAAACAAGGTTTCTGTTACAAATACTTTGTTATTCAATAAATTAACTGATAAAGGTGTCAGGGAAAATGTATACATATTTACTTTCTTTACTTGTACGTTCCCAGTGGCATCAGTTTTTTTTACAAAGGATGTGATCAGAACCAGACACAATTTTCATAACCTGTCAGGAAACCCTGTTTTGAATTTGGGCATTTAGTTTTACTGATAAACTGCTACACATACTGAGATCCCATGCTGAAGTATAGATTTAATTTCAGTTAATATTACATACTTTTTCCCCCTAGACTTTTTGATGCACTAAATATTATGATCACTATGCAAGGGGCCATTTCTTAAAACATAGTCAGCTAAAATAAAATAAAGAAATAAATTAATAAACCATTTATTTGTTTAAATGTAATTTTATTATTTTATTTAGTTTTATTTTGCAAGCACTGTTTTCTTTGAACATCACCACAGACCCCTTGTAGCTCATTGGGAGTTCCTGGACCCCTAACATCAGCATCATTAGTACTTTAATATCTTTATTTATTTATTTTTTTACAATAAGCAGTATTTAAAGTAAAAATAATCATTGTGGACCTCATACACTTATTATATGCTGTTTGGAAAGAGTGAGCTTTGACTTTGTCATAAATTAATGAATTCAGATCGGTTAAACCCAGCAGACTGCACAGTGAGCCGTCTTGAGCTCGAAAGGTCCTTCAGGAAGTCCTCGTGAATGAGACAGCGCAGTGTATGTTGGAGCAGCGTTTCCGATGTGAGCACATGAGTGGAAAATGAGCTTTAACTAAGCTTGTAAACATGACCATCTCCTCCATGGCTTTTAATCAGCTTTGTGACTGTCCCACTCCAGAGAATTATACGAGAGATCTTTGCAGCATAAGTAATGCTCACATACAGATACAGATACTGTACATCAGTAAGTGCATCTGCAGCGCTGTTTTGCATTCATATCTCTCTACAACATAAATTATTTTACACACAACATTGCATGATAGGTGATTGTTTAATGGCTATTATATCATTATATAAAATGGAAACATCCCTTGCCTGTGTCGTGTGCATACACTCTTAAAAATAAAGGTGCTTCAAAAGGTTCTTCAAGAGATTCCATAGAAGAACCATTTTTGGTTCCACAAAGAACCATTCAATCAAAGGTTATTTAAAGAACCATCTCTTTCTTAACTTTTTATAATCTGAAGAACCTTTTTTCGCCCCAAAGAACCTTTTGTGAAACAGAAAGGTTCTTCAGATGTTAAAGGTTCTTTATGGAACCATTTAGACAAAAATGTTCTTCTATGGCATCGTGAAGCACCTTTATTTTTAAGAGTGTACGCTGACCCAACCATGTTTTAATGTAAATCCACATTGCCTTAAATTCATGATGCAGAGCACTATTTACATAATAACTTATGCACACAGATTCCCGGTGTAAATTATGCTTATGGAATGCTATAATTATGTTGTAATGCTGCTGTAGTAATGTGTGCACATGCTTGCTATCTCTCTATGATTTATTTGATGAGTTCTGCTAGAACATTCAGTTTTAACATCATTTACAAATGAACTAAGCTTGTGCATGTACAGAATATCTGTATTCCGAGCTCAAATATTTGTTCAACAGCTAAAATAGAACCTTTTATTTTTTTCCTCCCACACTTACCTGTGACTTTCACTGTCATGTTGCTGGAACTTGAGACATTTCCACTCTTGATTCATGAGCGGTTATCATTGCAAGTACCAAATCATGTTGTTTTCATTTCTCCAACAGTTATTCCATTATCGTCTCTCTATGTGAGTTCATGGACACCCAGGTCTAATGCTTTTTGATTTGTTAATTTTTCACAGTAAGCAATGTTTTGAAATTTGTCTAAGCCCACTTGTAATAAAGTATGCTTGGCAGAAAATATGTAAGGGGAGGGAGCCCCTCTTTAAAATGATGTCAAATACTTGTGAATTACATCAGAATGAATAAATAAGAGGGTCAAACATGTTCTCTTTAGACTGTGTGAGCGAATGCCAAGAAGAGAAAACACTCAATCTAAGATTAAGAGAGAGTGCCGAGTCCAAACAGCTTCGGGCACTTTCTTTCTGTTCTCTGCTTCTCTCTCCTCGCTGGTGCCTGCCAATTTTGCTCACACACTTTACATTCTTATCATATTAAAAATTCATTTCATCTTGAGTAATGGGGCAAGCTCTGGCTTTTTCTTGTGAATTTTCCTGAGCGCACATTTCAGGTAGTTTCTCCTTAAAGGGATAGTTCACCCAAAAATAAAAATTAAAACCCTCATATTGTTCCAAACCTGCATGACTCAGTTTCTTCTGTGGAACACAAAAGAAGATATTTTGAAAAGTGACTTTCTGTGTCCATACAGAGAAAGTCAGCGGGGTTCACTGTTGTTTTGGACCCCATTGACTTTTATTGTATGGGCGAAAACAGTTCTTCAGAATATCCTCTTTTGTGTTCCACAGAAGAAAGAAACTCCTACAGGTTTGGAACGATGCGAGTAAATGATGTCAGTTTTATGGTTAAACTGCAGTAGTGACCTTTGAGGATTTCAAGAATTACACTGAAGTGAGTTCTGATATTTACTAATGCTAATATTTACTAATTTGTGATAACTTCCACTTACCAATTAATCAATACAATCACACTACTAATAATGTAAAAAGAGTTATGAAACAACATTCTAAGACTGAAAAAAAGCTAACGTTGGCCTGTAAAAATTAAGAGTTTGAACCCTGACCTCTCGCAGTGTTTCAGTGTTGGTTTACTGAGCGTGTCAAATAAGGAAATTGCTCTGCTGGCACCTCTTTCGTTTTCTTCCCAATTAATGCGTTTGCTTTTTATTAACTTCCTTTGGACTACTTTACCGCAGCCCCAGCAGAAAAAAAGAAACACAGCGCTGCTGGGACTGTGAGGTCACCGAGGAGAGTAAGTAAGAAGGTAGTTAAAAAGAAAATTCTCACCGTGTTTCTGCTGCATGGAATGGGGCATGCTGGGAGATGAGGGACTACTCAGCGGTCGTGAGGAACCCCCAGATTCACCACGTCTCAAACTCTGGAGCAGGAAGTTGGGACACCTCTGGACAGTCCAAAAATTGCCAATGGGAGGCAGAAGTCTCTGTTTTTAACAGTCACAGAACTCAAATGTCGGTGATGCCTCGGGGGAAGCGGAGGACATCCGGAGTTCAATGAGAGGGAAGAAAGCGGAGCAGACTGTGACAGCTCTACAGCGGAACAAGAGGATCGGTGGCAACGGCACTCGGATTGGCAGGAAAGCTGGCACACGGCAGAGGGGCTCAGAGCTGAGCGTACGTGCTGGCAGATGTTGAAGATGCCTGGCTGGATTGGGGATGGCTAAGTAGGTGCTGATTCCCGCCGTCTCTTCCGTCTTACAGGCAGTCGGCGGCCCCCAGAATATCTTGGTGAGCCGGAGCTGTCCCTGGTTGGATGCGTTTGCGAGTGAGTGTGTGGAGGAGGATCGGCGTAGCAGTGATCTGAAGCGAGTTGACTGAGCGTGCTCAGAGTTACAGAAGAGGTCCACAGGGCATCGGTGGCACTCTAAGCTGATAGGCCAACAGTGATCTAGCGTACATTGTTTGGTGTATGCTTACTTGGTCCACTTTCCTTGAATGCTTAAATTAAGGGGCGTGCTCCATTTCTTTTTTGGTGTGGAGGGGGGAACCCTACAGATTAAGTTATACTAGTAATCCCAGTCTCTCCTTTGCTTTCTCTCTCTCGCTCTCCGAGGTGAAATCTGAAATCTCATTGAGTCACATGAACTTTAGACCTTGCGATATTCCCATTAACATGGAACATCTCTTGGGCTCCGAGCCATCTGTCAGATTTCAGTCTTTCATAAACAGCTGTGACACATTGTTGTATAAACTGAGCTTTTATACAACAAACATTTCAGTGTCCTCTAGCATTAATCTACCTAAACTCATCTCAATCCACAGAGCTGGATATTGCTCTTTATAACTCGTCTAGCAATGGAAGCTGATATTACTCCAGATGTCACATTTCTTCACTCCTGCGATTCATGACAAGCATCTTGACTGCATTGGATTGAAAACTGGACAATACTGTACAACACTTTAAAGCGGATCACTCGAAAATGAAATTGTCATAATTTTCTCACCCTCATATCTTCGAAAGCAGTGGGAGAATTCTTTCTTCTGTAGAACACAAAAATAGTTATTTAAAACAAAGTTCATGCTGCTCTTTTCCATTAAATGAATGTGAATGGTAACCAAAGCTTTCCAGGCAAGATTTTCTGTCAATAATGACTAATATCCAATTGTATGCCTTTAGAAGATTTGGAATATAGAGGAGAAGTCATATGGACCGCATTTATGGTACCTTTTTGGTTATTTTCGGAGATTGAAATCCATTGGTCCCCATCCATTTTCAGTAATTTTATGGAAGAAAGCAGCTCTAAATTTCTCCTTCTGTGTTCCATGCAAGAAAAAAAAGTAATATGTGTTTGGAATGACATGAAGGTGAGTAAATAATGACAGGAGTTACATTTTTGGGTGAAATATCACTTTAGTGTCACCTGTCTCCCCGGGCGCCGCAGCAATATGGCTGCCCACTGCTCCGGGTGTGTGTTCACGGTGTGTGTGCAGTTGGATGGGTTAAATGCAGAGCACAAATTCCGAGTATGGGTCACCATACTTGGCCACACGTCACTTCACTTTCCAACATCTTAGACCTTTGAGGATTTCAAGAATTACACTGAAGTGAGTTCTGATATTTACTAATGCTAATATTTACTAATTTGTGATAACTTCCACTTACCAATTAATCAATACAATCACACTACTAATAATGTAAAAAGAGTTATGAAACAACATTCTAAGACTGAAAAAAAGCTAACGTTGGCCTGTAAAAATTAAGAGTTTGAACCCTGACCTCTCGCAGTGTTTCAGTGTTGGTTTACTGAGCGTGTCAAATAAGGAAATTGCTCTGCTGGCACCTCTTTCGTTTTCTTCCCAATTAATGCGTTTGCTTTTTATTAACTTCCTTTGGACTACTTTACCGCAGCCCCAGCAGAAAAAAAGAAACACAGCGCTGCTGGGACTGTGAGGTCACCGAGGAGAGTAAGTAAGAAGGTAGTTAAAAAGAAAATTCTCACCGTGTTTCTGCTGCATGGAATGGGGCATGCTGGGAGATGAGGGACTACTCAGCGGTCGTGAGGAACCCCCAGATTCACCACGTCTCAAACTCTGGAGCAGGAAGTTGGGACACCTCTGGACAGTCCAAAAATTGCCAATGGGAGGCAGAAGTCTCTGTTTTTAACAGTCACAGAACTCAAATGTCGGTGATGCCTCGGGGGAAGCGGAGGACATCCGGAGTTCAATGAGAGGGAAGAAAGCGGAGCAGACTGTGACAGCTCTACAGCGGAACAAGAGGATCGGTGGCAACGGCACTCGGATTGGCAGGAAAGCTGGCACACGGCAGAGGGGCTCAGAGCTGAGCGTACGTGCTGGCAGATGTTGAAGATGCCTGGCTGGATTGGGGATGGCTAAGTAGGTGCTGATTCCCGCCGTCTCTTCCGTCTTACAGGCAGTCGGCGGCCCCCAGAATATCTTGGTGAGCCGGAGCTGTCCCTGGTTGGATGCGTTTGCGAGTGAGTGTGTGGAGGAGGATCGGCGTAGCAGTGATCTGAAGCGAGTTGACTGAGCGTGCTCAGAGTTACAGAAGAGGTCCACAGGGCATCGGTGGCACTCTAAGCTGATAGGCCAACAGTGATCTAGCGTACATTGTTTGGTGTATGCTTACTTGGTCCACTTTCCTTGAATGCTTAAATTAAGGGGCGTGCTCCATTTCTTTTTTGGTGTGGAGGGGGGAACCCTACAGATTAAGTTATACTAGTAATCCCAGTCTCTCCTTTGCTTTCTCTCTCTCGCTCTCCGAGGTGAAATCTGAAATCTCATTGAGTCACATGAACTTTAGACCTTGCGATATTCCCATTAACATGGAACATCTCTTGGGCTCCGAGCCATCTGTCAGATTTCAGTCTTTCATAAACAGCTGTGACACATTGTTGTATAAACTGAGCTTTTATACAACAAACATTTCAGTGTCCTCTAGCATTAATCTACCTAAACTCATCTCAATCCACAGAGCTGGATATTGCTCTTTATAACTCGTCTAGCAATGGAAGCTGATATTACTCCAGATGTCACATTTCTTCACTCCTGCGATTCATGACAAGCATCTTGACTGCATTAGATTGAAAACTGGACAATACTGTACAACACTTTAAAGCGGATCACTCGAAAATGAAATCGTGTCATAATTTTCTCACCCTCATATCTTCGAAAGCAGTGGGAGAATTCTTTCTTCTGTAGAACACAAAAATAGTTATTTAAAACAAAGTTCATGCTGCTCTTTTCCATTAAATGAATGTGAATGGTGACCAAAGCTTTCCAGGCAAGATTTTCTGTCAATAATGACTAATATCCAATTGTATGCCTTTAGAAGATTTGGAATATAGAGGAGAAGTCATATGGACCGCATTTATGGTACTTTTTGGTTATTTTCGGAGATTGAAATCCATTGGTCCCCATCCATTTTCAGTAATTTTATGGAAGAAAGCAGCTCTAAATTTCTCCTTCTGTGTTCCATGCAAGAAAAAAAAGTAATATGTGTTTGGAATGACATGAAGGTGAGTAAATAATGACAGGAGTTACATTTTTGGGTGAAATATCACTTTAGTGTCACCTGTCTCCCCGGGCGCCGCAGCAATATGGCTGCCCACTGCTCCGGGTGTGTGTTCACGGTGTGTGTGCAGTTGGATGGGTTAAATGCAGAGCACAAATTCCGAGTATGGGTCACCATACTTGGCCACACGTCACTTCACTTTCCAACATCTTAAAGACACTAACCTTTAAGAACTGTGAAACAAAAGGCCATTGTTCTTAGCCAGGGGTCTGTAACCTGCCGGGGCTCCCTGAAGGTGCTCTTGGGCAGAGGTCTATAAATATTTACAAGACAAGACAATTATTAGCTAATTTATTTTCTTTCTGATGCTTAGGCATTGCATAATGTAGCAATGCAACATTCTTAGTTAAAGTTAAATCTACATATTTTCTATATCTTTAAAAAATTTAATCTATTTTCTATATCTAATTAAACTTATCTACCCTTTATGTATTTAGTAGATGCTTTTGTCAAACGTACATTGCATTCAAGTTGTTTGTTCGATCGGTTCATACATGGGAACTGAACCTATGATCTGCTGTTTGAGCTTCAGGAAAATGTCTAGTAAGACAAAAAAAGCATCTTCATACTGCTTTAATTTGTCTGCTTGATATTGAGAAGAAGATAAATTGCATTGTGCTTGCATGTGATGTCACACATTTACATTATGAGCTTACAAAAACGACAAGACGTGTTGTCTCGGACTTTGTGTCCAGACGCGTTTAGTGCCTTACAGAAAGTGCTGTCCTGCAGTCAGTGAGATGTTCTCTATGGCTGCATGCTAGCAGAGACAATCATACTTTTAACATTTGAGGTTGAGAGTTCAGAGATGTTTCCAGATGTGCTTAAGCTATCAGAAAACATGGCTTGTATCAGAATGTGTTCTGACAGTTGTCTGTATCTCTTACGCACCTGATGTTCTGGATATTATTGATGTCTTGATGTTCAATGATCACTTTGTATTTTGTATAAATGTGTGCCATTTCTTTTCTTTTTCAGAATAATGAATTTCTCTAGACATCACTTTTCTGATGAATGTGTGTGTATTTATGCCTTGTGTTAATAATTCTTGAATATCTGACCTGTTTCTTTAGATTTACTCTCTTGACTGAATGTTACATCAAATAATTATATATGTATATGAACATGTTGTGTATGTGGGTGTTCTGGAGTTGTTAGGCGTAAAAATATGTCAGTCTGTGAGCCTTTGAAGTTAGTGTTTAAAAGACAAATGACATAAAAAGGAAATTGCCACAGATACTTGCAATAGATTTTCAGAGAGTTCTAAATGTCTGTGTTGCTATCTAGAGCAAAACAGTCCGGTTTTGGAAACACTAATAATAATAATAAAAAAATCCTATTCATTTGATCCCTATAGAAATAGTATTTTATTGATAACATATAAACCTTTCAAGACAGACCATCTCTGAGGTTATTAAGTGGCATTATATGCTTTTAAAATTTGTGTTTATATGGTGAAATTCACTGTAAAATACTACATTTCCCACAATCCTGCAGTAGCGGAATTCTTGCTGCTATCATGGAAGCAGGAACTGCTGCAATAAAGCTCCCATTACTTCCATAAAACAGATTTGAACATTTTAATTATTTCTACATTCTCATACATTCCATAATTTTTTAGCCAATAGTTTTATATTGTTTCATCATTTCTGATTTCATTTGGTCATTTGTTGTGATTTATTGACTCTCAATTTGCTTTTAATTGCATGTTGTAATGTTATGATTAAAATCAAGTCTTGAATGGCAATGGAATTGGAAAAGTACTTCCAGAACAAAGGTCGCTGGAAAAGTGGACAGTCACAATTGCGCTATTTTAAAAGTCATTGTTGATTTGGGCTGTGAAAGTGTGCAGAAAAGTATTTTCTTCAGCACAATTGTAATGAGGGAGATGGTGATCAAAGACAACAGTAGTCAATTTGATCTGCTCCTGATAAAGTTGTTTGCTTGTATGTATCCCTCTATTTGCCCAG